GAAGAGAACAAATTTGAACAGAGCCTGGGAACAAAGGAAATGCCCAGACGACTGGCAGAGAGCCAAAGTGGTACCATAAAGGGAAAGAAAGGCAGCAAACGGGCCCGCACAATGTACAGAGGCATCTTTTTGTCAACGCAGGGAAAACATACGCAAAGATAATAGATGTAGAACAACGAATTGGGCCCGTCATAGAAGAAACCTGAGCGAAGTTCAGTTCGAATTCCCAAAAGGGAAGAGGATTCCCGGATGCATATCACTCCAATACTCATACCAACATCAGGCTACCAGTGCCGGACCTGAACATTAAGTATAACCAATGAAAACAAATGCACTGTGTGTGCCAGATGAAATGTCTCCGCAAAATCTTAACATCACAAGACGAGACAGGCAGAAATAATAAATGAGGAAGTAAGAGCAGCAGCTATCGGCATTGAGTCCTGTCTGCATTTCATAGAAAGACAAAGAACAAAATTATTTGGCCACCTGTTACGTATGTCACATTATGGCCAGCCAGCCTTGAGAGCCTACAACACCAAGCACTCAGGCTATAAAGGAAGAGGAAGGCCACGCAAAAGGTGGATTGGGGGAGTCTAAGAAACCCTGAGAAATTACAATACCCCGATTGAAAGAGTCGCAGAGAAACGCAGAATAGTCCAAATTTAACAATCCAAAATTCCCCTGAAATGAAAATACACCCAGAAGCACAGGTCAACAACAGTTTCGTGCACTGGCCGACCTGCCAGGTGTCCGGCCCACCACATGTCGGTGCTATGATCACATGTCGGATCACGTGACCTAGATACGGGGACCGCTTGACCCACTGTTGACATGTCCAGCGGAACTCGAGCCGTCAAATCTTCCCTTACACAATCTCGTGGAGGTTTTAGTCAAGATTTGTTAAACTGCGAACCGAACAAAAACGACTATAGAAAAAAAAATATCGGTTAATTTTTTTGTTCCTTTTTAAAAATCAACATTCTAAATGCAAAGTCCAAGAGCTTGGAGTTCCAAATAGAGGAAAACGAGAGGAAAAAAAGTTCTTTCACTAAGAAATCTCAGTTTCATTTTTTGTTCCATTTTTGTTTTAAAAAAACACATTGAAGTACAAAGTCCTGGAGTTCCAAATGTTAGACGGAAAAGAAAAAAAAAGTTATTTCACTAAGAAAATTTCCGTTTTGTTCTAGCGGCTCTGTTCTGTTGTGTCGGTGTATGACCTTGGTGGATGGTATGGGACATACGGTGTCCAGAGCCCACATAGAGAATGTTATGATGGTGCGTTTTTGTTACAACATTTAAAACAGAAGGTAAAAACATGGGATTTTTTACCATCTGTAAGCCAGTGCTGAGATTTTACCATTAATGGCTCAGGGTCTTTCTCCTTGTTCTCAAACTTTAGTCTTGAGCTGCCTTATCTTTCTGACCGATTCCCCTCATGTCATAGTACAATGTCACATCGAGTGATGGGATTTTCTGATTTGTCATGGAGATTCAGGAGCTATATACGTAGGCCTACCGAGTTCTCAGCCTTGCTGGAAAAGAATTTACTTGTTCCTTCTATATTATATAAATAACTTCTCTTTCCATCTTGAAGAATGGTTTTGTAATTCCAAATAGCATGGTCCCTATTTTTCTCGCCATAGAGTATAGTAGTTAGTAATCTGTGCTCACACACTTGGGTTTTTGTTGTTTTTTTTCATTTTCTCAACGTCTCTTTCTATATATTTTCATGGATATATAAGCATAATAATATATTTTGTACATGATTAGACAGTATAGAGAGTGGTAGATGGGCTGGTACTGATTACAAATACATTGGGAATAGTACTGGGCCTTGGAGAACACCAAACTTATAAATACCTAATTATAACCAGATATCTTTTATTGCAGCAGATTGGCAGCGATTAGACAGACAGTTGGCGATCCATCTGAGAGCAGAACCATGGCTGCCATTTTTTTTTCATTACAAAAACCAAAAACATTTCCATGATCAAATGTGTGGGAAAGCTGCCGACAGATGTAATGAATTTAGCATTACAACTTCGCCAGCATCTGAATCAACAAGGGTTCCATTTACAACTTTCACCATCGCTGTTTCTGTGCTGGGAGTAGTGAGTAACCCTGCAAGCTAACTGAGGGTCCTATACGACTGTTCCATTTTACATGGAAAATAATAGGTTGTTTTAAGACTACTCTTCCAAGTATTTCTGAGAGTACACTCGAGTTCCTTTCGATACTGACCTATAGGCTTTCAGATTGTTTTGTTCTAGAGATTGATTTTTTCTAACAATGGTTTCCTTAAAGTATTTTTAAAGCAATCTGTTACATTCCGTCCTTCAAAGAACGATTGATGATTTTGTCACAACCTCGCCCAACTGACAGCCAACATAGAGCTCGTGTTTCATTCACGATGGTTCTCAGAGACCTTCAAGATAAGCTTCTGCTTTTTTGCTACAGTAATGTCGGGTAACATTTTCTAAACATTCCAGATAGATAAGACAGACAGATAGACAATTCATATAAATAATAAATAGATTAAATATGCAGATAAAAAGAACACTAGATAAACAGACATTTTCAAATGTAGATATTATAAGTAGACAAAATGAACAATAAAAAAACCAGATACATTAAATAGTATATAGATATAAGGTGCAGTTTAATATGAACAAAACACGACACACAGATGATGAATAAACAAGCAAACAAACCGACTGACATTACAAAAAAACAAGGAGAGATTTACTGTGCAGATAAATAGGCAAACACACTGGAAGATAAACAAACAAACCAACAAACAATCAAGCAGAGAGACAGAGAGACAGAGAGACAGAGAGACAGAGAGACAGAGAGACAGACAGACAGACAGACAGACAGACAGACAGACAGACAGACAGACAGACAGACAGGCAGACAGACAGACAGACAGACAGACAAACAGAGATGAAAAGAGAAGAGTGTGGAGATAAGGGAGAGAGATGGGGGGTAAAGGAGAAACAAGAAGACCATTACCCGATTCAACAACTTTCTCACACAACAAACAAACAAACAAACAAACAAATAAACAAACAAGTAAAACAACAATTAAAAAGTCTGACAGATAGACAAACGGACAGATATACTAAAACGACAGAGGGGCATCGCCTGATCCAACAAGCTCTGCACACAAGAAACAAACAAACAAACCAACAAACAAGCAAACAAATAAACAAACAAACAATTGAAAAGTCTGACAAAAACGACAGACGACCATCACCTGATCCAGCAAGTTTCTCCCACTGATGGCAAGTCCAGTTGAAGGTCACTCGGCCTTCAAGGGAAGTAACTGAGAGAGCAGGCCACAGGCTCAGCTTTATAAACGCCTCATTTACAAAACTGTGCGGGCACCTCACTGCTGGGCGAATAATCGATTCCGGAACCAATTCCCGCGGTTAGTGCTGCGAAAAAAAGTTCCGACTTCTTTTTACGTAAACCAATGGCATACTTTAATCATTGAAATCTTTTTTTTTAAGGATTCTTTTTTGAAAAATAAAAGTTGATACTCTGCAGTGTTCGGAAATCAAGGCTATCCCAAATCCTGAAGATGTTCGGAGCCAACCCAGGTAACCACAAGAAGAAATCACGTCATTAGAAAGTAAGTAAATGGGTTCGGAGTCGATTCCGACGATTCCTAGCTTTCAATAATCGGGACCCTAGCCGCCCAGCACTAGCGAGGGCGATCCCAAGGGAGTTGTGTGGGAAGTCGATTCTAAGTGTGTGATGTCGGGGGTTCACTGACAGTAGTGACAGTGCAAAGTCAGTTTGCTTGTTATAAGATAGCGCTGGCTGTTTACACACTTTCCTCAGTGGATGGTTGGTGGGTGCTCTGGTGTGGTTTGCTCCTTCTTTCCTATCATACGTCTATCGTCCTTATCTCTGCTCTTTTTTTATTTGTGTGTATGTTACTCTCTTGTAACATATCTATTCTTCGCCACTTACAAGACTTTATTGCGTTACGAGTTCTACTCTAATGAAACATAACACGTTCTTCGTATGACAATTAAAGTCGACACCTTTTTCTGTGCAAGGCAAGCAGGTTGATCAATTCATCACAGGTGTAAGTGTCAACCACACACTTTGTAATTACTTCTTAAATTACTTCAAGATATCAAGATGAGGCGTAAGTATCGATACTTTCCACGCAGAATCGAAGTCGGGGACGTAGCGGGCTGGCCAATGGCGACGGTGACGTCACAACATGGCGGCGTTGTTGCTACAACAATATAACTATATTATTACAAACTGATTCACTACAATTACATCAAATCTTTCTCTGCATCTGGCATATCGTCGCCCTGCTGGTCAGATGTACTCAGCACAACATGTTGAGATGTTTTTAAAAATTATTATTATTATTTTAATTTATCTGTGGGATCGGTTTCGTTTGTTCAAAAGGTATTACTTTGTCAGAATTTCAATTCAAATTTCAAAACTGTTGATAAAGTAATAAAAGAGACATAAAACAGAAACATTCGTGGAAATAAGAAAAGTTTGGGTTTTTCTGTTTGTTTTTTCTTCTAAAAATAATAATGTTTTTCTAGACATAGTACATTTAAATGTAAACAGTTGAGACGATATATTTTTCTTTTGTTTGTGCGTGTGTGTTTTTCATGGGGACGTCGGAAAAAAACACTTCTCCGTGCAATGCAACAAAACAAACCAAAAACCAAAAACCACCAAAACAAAACTCCACTCTCAATTCCATGACAGTGTTGGAAGAAACACCCTCGCCACAGAGTTGGTCAATTGTTACGTGAAATGATAGCTGGACAGGTGGGTCTGTGGGCTGTTCGTGTGTTTGGACGCTGGCAGTTGTTGCACAATGGTGTGTGATCTTGCTATTGGTTCATTCTGAGGGCAAACAGGGACATAACATCTATTGGTTCATTCTGAGGGCAAACAGGGACATAACATCTATTGGTTCATTCTGAGGGCAAACAGGGACATAACATCTATTGGTT